AAACTTGGGGCGGCATGAAGTCATCGAAAGACCTTTGCTACAAAGACGGGTGATGCAGCTGCAATACTGTGTAAATTAATTATAGTAAAGGTGAAGTTTAGACATTTTGGAACATCCTAAGACATCTTCAAACTCCAGAGTTTGTTGCAATCATTCTAGTTAATAATTAAATCATCAGTTTACATGATGTCACTCACAGATATCATCCTGTGCTTTAAAAAAAAACCCCATCACATCAGTAAATGGAGCTAAACCTTCGATAATCCAATCCTGTCTTCGTTACACGAAGCAGCTGGAGCCGCAGATAAGACGGACAGATGCACCAACAGACTCCCGTCCAGCTTCCAGGCCTCATAAATGAACACAAAGACAGTCTCTGCTGTCCGACGGCCTCCTGCAGGACCTGCTGCAGGGTTGGCTGACCTGTTCCGGGTCGGCTCCGTAAAACGCAGCAGCCATGTGAACACGGCGCAGGTGCGAAACCGCATCACTGTTCAAAACCGTAGCCTTCGTGGAACAGAGGTAAAAACTTTGTCAGTGGGGTCAGATCCGGTGTCAGTAAAGTAAGCTGAACTAACGCTTCTGCCCTGCAGGCTCCTGATTGGTTATTAGTTTTTAACCTTATTGACCTTTAACCTTTGCGTCATTCACTATTCAATCAAGTCAAATCACACTTTTCGGCATCAGATGCCTCTGGTGTAATCACTTCTGAATGCATTTCCTGGTTCGTAAAAAATTCACTCATTTGCCTGATTACTTTTCTATTACATTCCTCCCACTCAGAAAAATGATTTTTTCTGAGCGGTTTTTTTGCTTTTTAAAAGCAAAAAGAAAATAAATAAATGAAACATACATAGTTCTGTAGATCTATTTGGTGTTTGTCAAAGCAGGCCGTTCCCATTCATTCATGCTGTTATTTATTCACTCCGCTCAGGCATGATTCTTCATAGCTAAGACAAACCTTTGTAGATACTGCAGAGTATTTTTGTTGGGAGGAATCTGCATTAATGGAGATGCATTGAAATTATTCTATTCATAAATTTGAACTTTCCGGTTATTAAAAAAAAAAAACCTCTAACAGGCTAAAATATGTTTTCATTTTTGTTCTTCCGAGGGTCTGATGACTCATTTTACTTTACAGAGGGTGGATGAAAGATTTTAGACATTTCACATTCAACAAGAGATATTTGGTAAAGGTTTTCAAGATTTTGTTTATTTATTTTTAACAAATGAAGCGCGTCTTTCAGGACAGAACTGTGGGTTTCGTAAACAGGAGTTTTTCAGGAATGTGTGCTGAAGTTCTGGATGACAAGAAAAGCTTCCGGATGATCCGGATTGGCTTTTTCGGCTTTACAAGGCATGTCCGTAAAAGCCTGTTAGTAAAATAAAACGTATTATAAAAGACCGCCAGACGCATCACAGCTGCCGTCTCGTCGCTTGATATAAAACACGTTATTATACCAAGCTGATTCATAAACGACTAAAGGAGAATTTTATTCTGAGGGACTCTGTCATCCTCTATGAAATTCGGTGGTTGGTTTTGTTTTCAAGCGACGCCGAGTCTTGCGTGGAGAAAGCGACTTTCTGTCAACTAGATCCAGACATAATTAGGTTGTATAGGATCGATGGTGGCTGCATAAAAATTGGAATTAAGAGTTGCGATTTTGACCAAATGTTTCGAGTCCTTGCGCACCAAAAGTTCCAGGAGCTGAATGAGACGAGATTTCTGCTCAGAAACACGTGAAGGTGAGAGGGACATCATTAGAAGCTGCTGCTGCTTGGAGGTGTTTTATTCTCAGTCTGAAGGACGGGACAGTCTGACACCCAGCAGCTGAGACCTGAGAGAACTTCGGACTCTTAACCGGACAAACACGACCAATTTACATGTTCTCTAAAAAAAAAGAACAACATGTCTATTTGTTGATTAGGTTCATTTAAAAAAAAAATCTCAAATATGAATAAAATCCTCTTTTCTGAGAACCTTGAAAAGATGAGTGAGTTTGTTGTGAAGGGCGTGTGAAAAGCTGCAGGAACAAAGCTGCTTTTTTTAAAAGGAATTTCTGCTCATTTGCTCTGAATCACAGCAACAAAGTCTGGTGTCCTGTGAGCGGTATAAATTGGTGTCTGTGTTTTCTTTTTTGTTTTTTGTTTGGTTAAAAGCTAACGATCATAGCGGTGCAGACATCATTAGGAAGAAGGAGGAGTCTGATGTTGGGATGTGAGGCTTCGTGTTCGTTTGCTCCAAAAAAACAACCTAAAACCAGCTTTTTCTCCACCGAATACAAATAAGTTTGAGCAAACGCAATTTTCATGTGTTATACGTGCTTTTTTTCTTGTTCTTTTTCATGTTACCCGTCCGTTCTCATGTTTCTCGCTGCATCACCTCCCAGAGAAAGTTGGTCCAGTGTGATCCTCGAGACGTTTTGAAGCTATTGTCGAAGCGGTTCAAGTGTCACTTTGTCCCATTTATCTTCCACTTATCCAGGATCAGATTGTAGAGGCAACATCTCGAGCAGGACAAGCAGACATCCATCTCCCCAGTTCTTTGAGTCATTTCAACAAAACCAGACGCTCTCCTTTCCAGGACTTGACGCCTTTTACAACAGCGTCGTGATCAGAGACGCTAAGCCGTTACGAGAAAGTCCAACCTGTAGCAGTGGCGAAAAGCTCTGTTTTGTAAAAGCTCTTCTGTTTTTTTCTTTTTTTTTGCTGATAGTCATTTGTAGTCGACTCTAGTACTCCTTACAGGGTGCCTAAGAGTCACTCTCTGTACTGTACCGGTCAGCGTTTCTTCTCCAAAACCTTGGTGTAAACATTCCCAGGAAGAGGGAAAGGTCTGAATCCTCAGAAACTGGAGAAAGCTCTCCTAGATTATCTCCATCTCTTCAAACGGATCACCTAAACCTGCAGAAAAGCCTGTTTCTTCCAAAGAAAAAAACTTTTTTGTTGTCTTTTTCTTCTTCTTTTTAAGTATTACTTTTGGTGTTTTCCTGTGTTGGTTACAATTAGTAAAGTTACACAGTAAAAGATTGACAGCACTCTCAGAGAAAAAAGATGGGAGTTCATTTATCAAAGTCATATGTTTGCCATGTTTTTCATACATTTAAAAATACCTTCGGTTCCAAACTAAATATCTAATTGAAAAAAATATTTCAATATTTTTTTAAAATAATTAATTAAAAAAATGTTTAGCTTCCAAATGATTTAGAACGCTACATGTTTCATTTGTAAACAGAATATTTAGTTCCAAACTAAGTAGTTAAATCTGAGCTAAATGTTTAGTTTTCACACTAAATATTCAGATTTCAAATTGCATATTTAGTTAGAATGCTAAATATTTAATTTGAAAACTAAATATTTAGCAGAAGCTAAATATTTAGCTTATGGGTAAAGTTTTAAAACTTTTAACTAGTTTTAAAACTAGTTAAAATAACTAGTTTTAATATTTAGATTTGAACTAAATATTTGTCATGTTGACAAAATATTTAATTTGAAAGCTGAATATTTCGTTTGAGAACAAACTTTTTAGTTCCCAACTAAATCTTTAAGTCTGAGCTAAATACACTGCTCAAAAAAATAAAGGGAACACTCAAATAACACATCCTAGATCTGAATGAATGAAATATTCTCATTGAATACTTTGTTCTGTACAAAGTTGAATGTGCTGACAACAAAATCACACAAAAATCATCAATGGAAATCAAATTTATTAACCAATGGAGGCCTGGATTTGGAGCCACACACAAAATTAAAGTGAAATGTTCCCTTTATTTTTTTTTTGCAGTATATTTAGTTGTCAAACTAAAAAACATAGCAAAAGCATAATCTCCACTGCTTGCAGGAAAGTTGTCTCTGAAGTAATGTTTTTTTTATTTTATTTCATGTATCATACTTTTTTTTTTTTTTACCCTATTCAGAATTTTACTTTTTTTTCCTGTAACTTCACACACGGCACCTCGTATTTTCCTAAGCATGTTCAGCTGCAACTTTATTTGTTTCACATCTTACTGTCTGAAGATACTCTCGTCTTACAATAAATAAATCAAGCCTCAGAGATTTCATTGTTTCCGCAGCTCTGCTCCTTTTTACTGTAACATCAGTCTGTTTTTTTTTTTTTCTTTTTTTCCCCTTATTTGTCTTTCCTGCTGCGGCGTTCCTCTCTCCTTCCTCTGGAGCATCGGTGATCTCACCTCCTCTCACCATCACCTCCCCTCGCTCTTCCCCTTTTGTTCGGTGCCTTTTCACTCCGCCGCCCCTCCTCCATCTCACTCGCTCCCCTCCCTGCGAGAGTGTGTGTGAAAGTGTGCGTGCGTGCACGGGCGGGCGTGTGTGTGTGCGTGCCGATGCACCCGCCGGCGAACAGGTGTTTGAGCCAGAGCTCCAAAGCGAGGAGCAAATAGATAGCGCTCGCTCCCGCCCCGGACCCGCTTTAGAGACTCCTCTCCTCCTGCAGAGATGATCCGGAGCGTCGGGGGACCAGCCGGGAGGCATCAGTCTGAGAGGTTTAACCCAGCAGAGGAGGCTGGAGCGCTGGGATAAATCTGCTGCTCATCCTCCTGCTGGTTCCTACAGTGAGTATGGGAGGAAGTTGGAGAGGATTCAAGCCGGGATCGGTCCGATTCTGCAAACTGAGTTCTGAGTGAGCAGGTGTATGTGTGTGTGTGTGTGGAGCTAAAACACCATCGGTGAGGTCTGCCGTAGGACCCTCAGAGGATCAAGTCCGCTGGTGTTTTTTTGGGCAGGGGGCGGGGGAGGTTAGCTGCAGCAGTCTGTCAGAAGCGCGGGTTGCACCTGTTACGCAAAGACACTTGTTGAGATCTGAATTCATCCTTTAGTGTCTCTGGCGGGAGATTCTTTAAACATTTTTTTTTCCCCTTAGGAATCTGAAAGAACCCTGTCAGGTCTCAGCTTTCTTCCTTTCTGTCTGGGGAAGTGAATGCAAGGAGGGCGGAAGCCGTCGGAATTTGATTCCCGTCTCTTCCCCTGTTTCTGTGCGTCAGGTCGGACAGTAAGATCTCCCGCTTGGCTCAGCGGTGGAACCAGAGGACAGCAGGAGATGCTCTGATCCGAGACCTGAAGCCCCTGTACCCCACAGGAATCTATCGATCCTCGCTCAGCCTGGACAGGTGAGCGTACGCACACTGATGCGCACACAAACACACACACACACACATTTGCTGCTCAGAGTGCAAACTTCTGTTGCCGCGCTGGCGGCGAGGAAGTTCATCCTCACTTGTGGAGACGTAGCTTTTTGTCCGCTGTGGTGCACTCCGGTGATTTACATTTGAAGGGAACCGGAGCGTCAGCAGCACAACCTTTTCTATTTGTCATCTCTGCATCATTTCAATGTGAGCAATCAGACAAAGAACACAGTGTTCTGCGTGTGGTGATGGAATATCCACTGTTAAAATAAAATGCAGCTGTTTCTTAGAGTTTATTTTCAGGTGCAGAAGCCATGTGACATGTTATGGAAGTCCTGGTGAAGGAAAATATGGGGATTTTGTCTCCCTGATGGAGATTCGGTCAACAGGACTCTAAACTTTGAATCAGCAGCTGAACGTTCTCGCTTCGTTAAAAAAAAATCACCTTGAATAACTTTTGAAGGAAAGAATTAAGCTGAATTTCTGAAACGAATGCTAACACCAGTCTAACAAGATGTTCACGGGAAACATCAAGCCAATCAGACAGATACATGCAGCTGGAAATATCTAAAGAAGGTAAATCTGCACTGGGTGTAAAGGAAAAAAAATAAGTTGGATATTCCCAGCTAGCGTGAGCTACACTAAATGTTCAAGCTGCAACGTGGGAACGTCCAACGGACCAAGGAAGGCATCGGAGCATCAAGATTTGAAGCAATCTTCCGAAAATGGAGATTGAACAATAACAGAGCCTAAGGATGACTGAACAGACACGATTCTGGAGGAACTCTGAGGGAGCTGACAGGAAATAGGGCCAAATAACAACAACAACATAAAAAAACATAAACACCTGAACAAAGATCCAGAGGTCTGATTAGAAACAAGTTATGGAACGTGGATAGTTTAGATGAAAGTCATGAGAAAAGGCATAGAAATGGTGCCGGAGTACTTGTTGGTGTTAAACATCGTAGGTGAAAAGTGAAATCACAGCCACAGATCAGAACAGTTTAGGTACAGAAGCAGGGCAGATGGAGGTCAGGACATCTACAGGAAATACACAGCTGGACCTTCTCTCATCCAATCAGAGCACTCCGACTTCAGGAAACACGGAACAACATGGCCGACAAACCATTCAAGATGTCAATCCAACTGGAATTTTCTGGACAAAAACTTAAAAATGACCAAACAATTCCACATTTGGGCGGCTAATACGTTAGCTTTGGTACAGTCCGCAAAGAGTTCAAGAAAAGTCAGAGGAGCTGTAACAAATAATTCACTAGGATGTTTTTTGTTTTCTTTCATGTAGTGATTTGTTTCTCTGTGTTTGACCTGGACAAAAAAAAAAAAAAGATGCATCGGTAATTACAAGATTGCAGTTTAATTTGAGTTACGTTTTACAAAGCCAGGATGTTCAGCTGAACAAACAAGCTAAATAAAACAGTTTGCCATCGTATCTGTAATCGTTGGTCAAATAGCTGACTGGATGTCCTCAAAGAGCTGGGTTTTTTGTGTTTTTTCTTTTCATGTTTTTTACAGAAATTTCAGAATTATTTGCTGTAGATGTCTGGTTCGTGTCATTTTTGAAAGCTATTACTAAAGATTTAAGTCCAGTTACACTCAATCAGGATTGTCCTGATTCACAGATGTCTGAACACTGAAAACACAGAAGACTGGTGGCAAAGCATGAGGTTTTGCAATGAAGCTGGATTTTTATTTTTATTTTATTTATTTAAAATTGTTTTTATTGTGGATGTAGTTGCTGCTGCTGAGATGTTTCCATTGCGGTGTCCAGACTTTTCCATGTTGAAATTCCAGGTGGGAAACGCTACACTGCAAGTGTATCTCAAATTGGAGGGAGAACTCGGTGTATATGCTGCAGTCCCATATGTCCTTGGTGTCAGTGGGTGATTGTTGGCTGTTGTTATGCTCCTGTGTTTAAATTATTCACAGGAGCACAGATTTTTTTTTTGTGCCCTTATTCAGCCTGAGCCAATAGCCCACTTAACCCTACTCATCTGCTGCCATGGTTACCTCCCGGTTTGATTCGGGGAATAGGTTAAACTGCTGACCTGAGCTGCGCTTTAGGTGAGCACACAAAGAACCAATCAGAGGGATCTGCAGTGTGTGTGTGTGTGTGTGTGTGTGTGTGTGTGGGGTCTGGTTATTCCTCGTCTTGTGAGGACACGTCTTTATATCCTGACTGCACAGCTGTTTTCTGAGAACGAGCAGCCGCTATAAAGACGCTGCAACGTGAATCATTAAACCCAGAAACTTAGAGGAAGGCCTGGTTGTATTTGTGGAGGCTGACACCAAGCATGAGGGGGAAAGGGGCAGGAAAAGTCACCATCGCACACAGAAGGTTATCTTTTACCATGTTATACACTTCGTTCACGTGGCAAGATTTTCAAATTGTGGACTGTTTTTCAAAACCAGAGAGAGCGCTCACGTGACGTTAGAAAGTCTTATGTGTAACAGGTTCGGACCTACAATGTGTGTGGGGTAACGCGCTACGCACAAACCGGTCTTACTCACCAACATTTCAGACGTCCGATGGGAAATCTCGCAAAACTCCTATGTAACGTCAACGTAAACAAACATGGCCGACTGGGAAGAAGCAGTTCAGTTCAGTTTATTTGCATGGTGCCAACAAATGTCGTCTCCAGGCACTTTCCAACAAAATCATTTCAGTCCAATCATCCATACATCCTAGTTATCAAATAGTAGTGAACTCAGCTGATTATTCAAAGTAGTTTAAACAGTTTAAATCTAAGAAAATGGCACTGGTTTGTGGACTATGTTTAACAGAGAAGAAGAAAACAATAAAGATGTATTTGACCTTCACCAGGCTGGATTGGATTAGTTCAGATTGATTGACTGATTGACGGTTGGGTGGATTGATTAGGTTATTGTCTGTGATCCTTCTTGTCACCTTATATTTTGTAGATTTCTCTGCTTTTACAGTTATCACAACATCTTCTCTGGAGTTATACTTTTTCTAATATCTCCCAAAGGCTGGAACATCTCAAGGCTGAATTATTTGTTCCTCAGCACGAATCACACAAATGGATCTGAAGCCTTTCAGGCATTTTTTTTTAAATATGAAGTTTTCTATTCACCGCCCTTCACTTTTTCTTTGAATATCTAATTTTAGAACACCTCTCTCTCTAAAGGCAAAGCCAGGCAGTTGATAGACATCTGTTCATGAACTTTTCTATTGATTGGTGTGGACCTGGTTTATCTGCAGTAAAAAAAAAA